GGATCATTGTCTTCTTCCCTTCTACAGGGTATTTTTGGAAAAGCTTCTTTAAGACTCGTGCATATTATTGATTGAAGGCACATAAATGTACTTTTAAGTGTCTCCTGTGTGCATAGTATTCTATTTGATCTATAGGATCAAGTAGAATACTGTGATCTGTAGGACACACCAGGTTGAACAAGATTTAATTTTTCTTCTTGAAAGTGACCCTCTTGAAGCTAAATTTGGACCATTGGCTTAATAAGTACTACTGCACTTACTAAGACTAGATCCTTACCCTTTATACCTATGAATTCATTTTCTGTCTCCACCCCAGGCATTTTTTCTTTGTAAGAGAACTTTGCCTCCACATACCTGTATCATTTACCTAACCCGAGCAAGTAGAAACAGCCTTCATACTGTTTATATTCTTTACATTGTAGAATGTAAGTTCTAATCTGGTCTAGATATTTGTTAATGATTATTATTCCCTCTTTTCTGGAGATAGATATTCAAACCACTAGATCTATTTCTATAAAAAAAATCTCTGTCCCTGGAGAACTCAAAATTGGTTCCTTAATGGATTCTTTCTGTGACTTGTTACATACAGCTGAGTATGGCTTTCTCCACTGGGGGTCCTCCTCCTGTTTCCAGCACTCTCTTGCCATCCTCCCATTTTAGGATCCTCTGTTCTCCACATCGGATTATCAGTAGGCGAAAGTTCTTTCTGTGTCTCTTCCGTCTTCCCTTTCTCTTCACCTCTTCAATTTTGCTGATCCAAATAAACTTGTAATATTCCTCAAATTGCTATTAACCCTAGGTCTTTATATCTCATGAGGACAGTATTTTATGACAGTTAATGGTTTGGATTGACTGATTCAACAATAGGTCTTTGTTAAAATCAAGTACTGCCTTTTGTCCATTCTGTGGAGGGTGAACCCTACCCTCTTGTGAGGCAGGATCAGTACTCTCTCAAGAATTTCAGTCTCTCTTCTTTCCCTCCTTGTCCTGCTTTCCTTCTTTTCACCCCAGGAATACTGCAGGATTTTTAGAAAGTCTCCAAGCCCACTATCATGAGAGTGAACCAGCAGACTTTCCACGGCCCATTCTTCCCATGCCTACGTCAAATGTTTTGCATATGGCATTTAGGAGGATTATTAAACAAAAATGAAATAGATTAAGAAATGAACATAAAAGAATCAATTCTCTTGAACTGTGGTTGCATAATGGAAATCGACTACCATGAATGAACCCGTGTACCGAAGTTATGAAGAGCAGAGCTAATGCACTGCCATGAGTTCATCTTTATTATTGCATTACACCTGAATCAATTGATAAAGTAGCTTTTTTTTTTTAAAGCGAGGGATGGCACTTAATTGAATAAAAGTCAATGTAATTATATTAGCAGAGGCCAACAGTACTGCTGACAGCGGAAAAGGGACACTGTTGAACAGAGTGCCAGAGCTGGTCTACACATTTCTGCACATCGTTTGGTTGACAGAAATTGAGGGCTGGTACATCATCTAATTAGATTACAGATTTCTACTGCTGTAAGTGAGAAATGAAGAGAAAATCTCTTCCTGGTAACATATCGGTAGAGATGTGTAATTTCACAAGTCATCTTGGGGAAGATGTGTCCATCTGGGTGATCAGTGTGTCCTTTTGTCAATGTTAATTTACTCTTCCTCATTCAGTGTGTCTTGCTGCGACTGCTGTGTGTCTGGCTGCTGTTTTCTCAGCAGTGAACGTAGGAAGTGATAACCGCAGATATGTTAGAAGCGACACAGAGTTCTAGATTACAGTCATCGCAGAATGTGTACTTGCAAAATTAAGAAAGGGGGAAGGGTGTTAAAAGTAATAAACGGGTAGGATTTTGTGAGTTGCTTATAGTTGGCAGATTATTTTATTAATAGAGTAATAGTACATAGTGTAACTCTATTTCCACTTTCTTATAATAACTCTGGTGGTATTGTACCCACATGTCAGAGTAAAAACTTCACAGTGGGCATTTCCTGCACTCTGCTTAGCAACCTGCACTTGGAGTCATCTGCCATCTGACACCACGGAAACAGGGAATCACTGTGACAGAGCAGGGACCGTGGGGACAACTTCTGTTTATCATTCACATACCCACACACTGCATGCATCTGCATCTGTTTAGAACTCATTTGTGGATGATGATGATGCTGTGAATTTGGTTTATCTTAATTTGATTTATGATTTTTGGATTATGCAGCTGATCTGAAAATCATCAAGACAGCGTATGGGATGATCACTTATGACAGAAAATAATTTTGTGATCAGAACATTTTAAATCCCTATTTTATTGTTTAAGTTTTTTAAAAACCAGATGTCTAGAATGTGAATTTGTTTTCTCTCTCTCTCTCTCTCTCTCTTTCTCTCTGTTTTTCTCTCTCTGTCTCTCATTCTTGCTTTCTTTTGTGATCGATTTAGCAAAAGATTAGAAAGCTGATCTTATTATCACAAGGTAAGCTCAGCCTTCCTAAGTGCAGTGTGGAGAGGGCTGCTGCCCCTCTGCTTCTTAAAACCCAGAGTGCTATATATTGTCTTGTGTGGAAAGGTGGAGAAGTCTTCCTCACCTTTCTTGTCTCTGAGGCACATACCTCTCAACCATCTCTAGGAAATACTAGCCATGCTTGTCACCAAATGGAATGGCTCATTTTGGTCTTGCATACTTTTTAATTATAATGAGGAGGTTTGTTGGAACTTTATACCAGCCATTCAGGTCATTTCTATGATCACAATTATTTCTTCAAGATGGAGAGCTTCCAACAGTATTGAGAAGCTTTTATTATCTGTATATTTATTGCTTTATTTTTTTGAAAGGGTAAGCTTCAATTTGTACTTGTCAAACACATGAGCCTTTGCAGGTGGAGAGAGGTATATGCCCAAGGGCACTTTGAAAGTAAATGGGGGAGGCAATGTTCTCAGATAGATGATAACATATCAGGCTTTGTAAATCGTGATGTCCCCGTGGATGCTCTGGGACAAATTCTGTCTTTTTTCATACAAGCAAAACACTCCTTAAAGTTTTGCTTGTCTAAGAAGTATGGGTTCCAGTTGTTAAAATAGGGGGGACCCTATTTTATTGTCATGCTTGATTTTTTTGTTGTTTTGTTTTTTTGTTTTTTGTATTTACTGTGTTTTTATTTTGTCCCTTTGGGTTTTTTCTGTTATTTAGTGTGATTTTTTTAAAGGGTGGGTGGGCTTTATTTTAAAATTCAATTTGTTTTTCAGCGTTTGTTTTAAAGAATTAGATTGTAAAGTAGAATTGATGAAAATATTTTCAACACTAAAATGCAGCAACTTCTGAAAAGCAAATGTATTTTATTATTAGATTTAACTGGGTACCAACTCATTCTGAAAAAAAAGGGATAAAGACATATGTCAAATTGCTAATCTATTAAGTTAATTTTTTCCTACTTAAAGCTTGAAATATAGCGGGTGGAGGGAGAAGATTTCATTATGTTTTGAGGTTATACCTAAATTATCTTGGCTATTTACTTTAAAAAAAAATGGATTCTTTTCCTACCTCAAAATACAGTGTGTGCTGTATAAAAAATGGTGTTTTGTTGTTTTCAGGTAAATTTAGAGTATCCATTTAGACAAGCAGAAAGTTTCCATTCTTTTATCCTATTTAATACATATTCTAAAATTTCTGCTATGAAATCCTCTGCAGCTAATGCTGCTATATAGTAAAACTAACAGAACAGTCATTGAGAAAAAGTTGCATGGATTTGCATTCATCCTACCATTGAGAATTTTACTCTTATAAAAATTAGGTTATTGGAAAGTTACCCTTATTGCACCTCCCACTAATACTACTCACTCCCAGATTCTGAGGATACAGGGAAACGCTTGCTTTTAGAATGGTGTAATTAGCAATGAATATGCTTATTTGATGCTTAGTGAAAGCTGAATCAATTTTAAAATGCTCTCCTTTTTCTCACCCCTCCCCACTCCCTGTGCACCTACCCCCCTTCCCTCTTGTTTTCCTAGACACAGTGCCAACATAAATCTGCATCGTAAATTGTTGACCAAAGAACTCGATGACATGGGCCTGGACTCATCGCAGCCCTCCCTTAGCAAGGACCTCCGTGATGAATTTTTGGTGAAGATCTATGGTGCCCAGCACCCCATAGGGCTCGACATCAGGGAAGACGCCTCCTCTCCCGCAGGGACTGAAGACTCCCACCTCAACGGGTATGGGAGGGGCATGGCGGAGGACTACATGGTCCTTGACCTGAGCACCACCTCCAGCCTCCAGTCCAGCAGCAGCATCCATTCCTCTAGAGAATCAGACGCGGGCAGCGACGAGGGGATTCTTCTCGACGACATTGATGGGGCGAGTGACAGTGGGGAGTCGGCACACAAGGCTGAGGCCCCTGTCCTCCCTGGCAGCCTAGGGGCTGAAGTTTCGGGATCTCTTATGTTCAGCAGCCTGTCTGGGAGCAATGGTGGGATCATGTGCAACATTTGCCACAAAATGTACAGCAACAAGGGGACCCTGAGAGTGCACTACAAAACTGTGCATTTGCGAGAAATGCACAAGTGCAAAGTCCCTGGTTGCAATATGATGTTTTCCTCTGTACGAAGCCGGAATCGGCACAGTCAGAACCCTAATCTCCACAAAAACATTCCCTTCACTTCAATAGATTAGTCTCAGAACGGACACTACAAATGCCAGCCCTCACCAGATGGCCTACTTGTTTGAACTGCCATAGTCAGTGTGCGCTTCTGTACTTGGGGGGTGTGTCTGTGTGTGTGTACCTATGTTTGCTCTGTCTCCACATATACACACACACATATTTTCTTTAGATAAAAAAGATCAACACTAGGTGCTTTTGAATTTTTTTTTCACTTTTCCTTTATAGTTTTTGGGAAGCTGTGGGATCTTTAACTGGGGGGGGTCAGTGAAAACAGAGTACCCCTTTAAACACACATACATACACACAAAGCGTGCAAATAGCCCCAATTCTGACAGACTAATTCTTGGTCTTCCCCAAAGAGACATTTGTTGTACCCATGACTGTTGCCTGCTAAAAATAAAAGGGAAAAAAAGAAAAAAGAAACAAAGAGGAACTTCTTATAGTTGTCTTTTGTGAACTTTAAGGTTTTGGGAGAATCTTCAATTAAAGCATGGCAGATTCACCTGTAAATATTTAGCCTTGAGAGGCCATTGATGTAAAACAATTGTATTGATGGTTGTTTAACTCTTTTGTTTAATTTTTACAGTTACATCCAGCTGTTAGATATGCAGGAAAAAAATAGTTTGCTGGCTAGCTCTATTCATTTATGTTAGCATTAATGCACATTTTTTTTTTAAACATGGTCTTGTTTTTACTACCTGTTAGACGTAGTGATAAAGAGGTGCTGGCATGCTTTACAGCACAGATCTGATTTTTTAAAATGTCCTGTACTAGTACATAAACCCAGTCATGCACTTTTTTCATACACTACAAGGGGATGTGTAATATCCATGCTTCTTTTTTTATCCTTAAACTATTGCCATACTTCAGTAAGTGTCTTTTTAAAAAAATTCACTTGTATAAAAATGGTCTGGTCAGTATAGGGCACAAATGCCAAACAAAAGTATTAGTGTTAACACAAAACTGCCAACTTTGCACAAGTTTCCAGAAAAGAAAATACAATTAGTCACTCAACATAACCACAGGCCAATTTGTCGGCCACCAGAAAACCGCTTTAAAAAAAAAACACTTGGTGATTCTTTCAAGTGCCGAATGTTATTAGAATCAACGTTGCATCCTTCTTGCTTATATGTTAAGTTACATAAAAGAAAAACAAAATTATGTGGTGTGAAACAGCCAAGGCATTTATTCTTTAGAGGCAGGATAATATTTCAGGATACAAAAGCCCAAATTACTCACTATGGAACAAAGCTGAATACAGTCAAAGAGTTGAACACTCATTTCCAAGGCCCTAACTCTTATCCTTTAAAAAGAAAGAAGAAGTCTGAACTGGGTTGGTCTGTCGTACGGCTGTCTAATTTGTTGCAAATTCTTCAGTAGTACTATGATTCAGGCCTGCTTGATAGACAAAATCAAAAAGACATTTAACAGCAGCAGTACTTGGAAGCTTTGAAAACATGTGCTAAACTTGAATTGAGCAACACTCCTTTCTGAAAAGCCAGAAGGAGGGTTTAAAATAGGATCTCTCACTGTTCAGTGTTTTGTGTTTCCCCACACGATTTGTCAGAGAGAAATGAAAGCAAGCCTGAAACCAGCAATTGAGAGTGAGAAAGAGGGGGAGACTATTCTCCAAACCTTTTTTGTTTTGTTTTGTTTCCGATGTTTACACATGTTGCCTGAGCTGGTTAACCACATCGGCAGCCCCAGCTACCACAACATACTGACTAAATGATGATATTTACTCAAGTTCAGTCTGCAGCCAAAACCATTAGGGTGTGCATTGCAGACTACGTTTTGTTGTCTTTTTTGGTCTTTTTTTTTAAGTGGAGGGGAAGAAAAGATAAACAAGGAATATTTTGTCAAACGATACACCATAATTTAAAGAGAATGTATTTCTTTTCTGCATTTAATGGCCTCGAACATTTCTCTCATCAGTCTAAAGTTAGCAATATCCCTTTGTTTTAACTTTTCATGTCACTTCCATTTTTCATATGTTTTGTAATTTTTCTATGTTCACATCAACATTCACTTCCGTTAAATTTGCCAAAGGAAACTGTTAATGTGTTTCTGTTGTTATTATTCCTGTAGGATTTATTGTACCTCACAGTATTTATTGTTTCCAAAAATAAGCATCATTAGTTGGGAGTTCAGTATTTTTATTTGTGAAAATTTCAGAAACAATAGATTCTTAAAGATAAGCTAGCTGTGTCTAGGAGCTTTATCTTTTCACCTCCTTCAGAGGATGCTATGGGGTTCATTTAATTCTTTATTTGTTCTACAGTAAGGAAAGACCAAAAGTATTTGCAGTACAAAAGAAACTAACACTATGTCTGTTAAATGACAAATGTTTACGGGAAAAAGCTGAGGAATTAGTAATAACCGTTTTTGTTTTCTTGTACCTTTGAATTCCCCAAAGTCTTAATTGCTTTATTTTGATGTTGTGTTAAATTGAATAGACAGAGATGTTTTCCTTTGTTTTATACCATATAAGACTCTGTACAGTATGTTTGTGAAAGATTGAACTAGAATAATGAAAGTCTGTTTGCAAACATTTTGGTCCTCTTAGCGTTCTCTGTGTTGCGCTATTGCCCCATTACCAAATGATTTGATTCAAAAAGGGTGGAAAAATATGTTTAGTATACCAACAAAAGATTATGGAAACGCTGGCTTTCAGAGTGTGCATAGACTAAATCACACCTAGTTTTATGAAAATAAATACACATTTTTATTTTAGCAACTTTAAAAAGTTATTAGTTAAGATATTCTAGAACTCATCTTCTACAAAATCAATGTTTAGTCTGTTTAATTTAATGTCAAGGAAAAGGTCAGGTGGCCCTAGTGAGTGAATTACATAGCTGTCAGCAGGTCACATCAGCAAATGAACCAGGATTAGAACAAATGTTTGTTACTTGCCACAAACCCGGCTAAGGTATAGCCAGTTAGCAAAAGACCAGAGGTAATGAGATTCTGGAAGTAGAATGTCCCTTGCTTGGAAACATGAATGTGTTCCCCTGTGCTTTGTCAGAGGAATGGCAGTAAGTCCTGGACAGCTGGCACTTTTTAAGTATCTCCTCTATTTGCTACTATTGTGCCCCAAGTGCCCAGTTGATATGGTGGCCTTCTGAATGAGTAAATAACATTTTCCAGTATAAAGCCTATTGCTTAAAGGGACAGGGGGAGTGGATGGATGTAGTGCATAAAATGTAAAACCATAAAATGTACAATTCTTCTATTCCCAAAGTGTTGCTTGTTCTTGAGTGTGTGCCTGAGTGTAGTGTTTTGACTTAACTATAATTCTGGTTAAGATGGTGATCCCAAGGCTTATTTGCAAACAGGAAGGATAAAGAGATCAGCATTTTAATCACTGAGCTCTTCATCTTTGCCCATTTCTACTCATTTATTTTTTCATTGTTAAAATAGCTTCTCTCTGGCTGCATCCATTTTATGCTGGCTGAAAATTAGTAGCGATACAGATTTTCATCCAGCCATGATTGATTTTAGCCAGAGTGTTATCACAGGTACAAATTTAGGCAGTATTATTGTGCATGTTCTCTAGCTGATGTAGAAACTTAACCGTTTTGATCATTTTAAACTATGTTTTTGTAAATATCAGAAAGGCTTAGTTTGCTTTCCGGAATATCTGCATGCTATGGAGGGGGAAGAAAGCAAGAAAATGAATAGGTAATAAGTAATTTGGTTTTTAAAATGTGATAAAAAGCTTGACATTCTTTATTCTGCTCTTAATTGTGTTTAAAGAAGTCAGCCCATTCCAGGTCTTAGTCCAGCTGCCCTGTTCAGCCTGATGCCTTTTAAAGATTTAAAGGTGTTATTGTTTTTTCCTTTTCAACCTGACAAACTTTGTTAAAAAACATTTTTAGCACAATGGTGCCACTTTTTAAAGTGTTATTTCTTTGATCTTGAATTTCCAGGCCCTTCCAGTGAGAAGAGAAAGGCACTTAACTTGTTAACAGCCCTATTAGTATACATTACTCCAAGGGAAAAAAAAGCTTTGAATATATCAAGAATGGGCTGTTCTAGAGGTATTCTCATTTTACTCAGGAGGAACTATGGACTAGGTTCCCATCAAATAAAATGTGACCTTTTCTTTGTCTCTGTACACACCCCAGATGTGTGCCAAGCAAATGAGAATGGGGCCATTGGCAATTAAAGCATAAAGAAGCTGGTAACCAGATTGAGATGGACGTGCCGCAAGCTGCTAACAGCTCGACCTGAGCAGTCCTAACTTGTTATCTGGTCTGTTAGCATTGGGTTAGATTGACTAACAGAGTAAATAAAATTCAACTGTCAAAAGACACACAACATCTGCTATCATAAAGAAACAAATCATTTAGAAGTAACTTTCTTTCATCCTGTGCCTACACCCCTTTCTTAAGAGCTTCTTTTTAAAATTATGACAAATTTTCATGTTTTTTAAATTGCTTATCTTTCCGGAAAACTTGAAATATTTACATGAGAGGTTTTGTTTTTCCCTCTGAGATCTTAGGGATCTAAATGAATAAGGAGGGTAATAAAAGACAGGTACCACAAAGACTGGCAGGATAAGTTTTTCCATAAGAAGACTAAATGACACTAAGTAGAGGGTTGGTTCCTGCCCTGGTTTGGGGGTAGCTAGAAAAGAAAATAGTTAATGCACTGGAAGTGCCTAGTTTGAGGGTAGCTAGAAAAGGAAATAGTTAATGCACTGGAACTGTTCGTTTAAGAGAAAAGTCTGGCATAGCTCTACCTAGCAGTGGGTGAGAGCGCATGGATGTAGTGACCTACGGAGTTCCCATAATCAGGTGAGTCGCCGAACACACCTAAGGAAGGGGTTAGGAAAGTAGGACAGCTGCGTGGAATAGCTGATCTTGCTTAGAGTCAGGAGAACCCACAAGGACAGCTGTGGGTTTTAGGTTTGCCTTTGTTTGGGTTTTGAATGGGAAGTGATGCTGGAGTCCCTTGGGGAGCAAAAAGATGCCAGGGGTCACCGAGGCTATAGAAAAGGCTGGTGGTGAAACCTAGTCCTAACCACCATGACTGGAGCAGTAGATGAGAGTGGTACCTAGCACGGACCTGTCCCTTTCTCCGTCATTACTCTTGCCACTGTAGCAACACAACAAAGTTGTAATTGTGATGCTACTTGGCTAAAGCTCTCTTGATCAAAATGGGAGCTTGTTGCCCATTCTGCGAGGCATGTAAGTAACAGAATTCTACTTTCATATTGTCCCTCAGAGATAAACCACGTGTGAGAGTCTTGCTCATATTTGTACCAAGATCAAATTTGATTTATCCTACATCATTTCCATATTTCCTGTAGTTGGAGAATTAGCATAAATGGTAATTTTCAAATAATGTTATGTAAATCCATCTGTAAAATCAACCAGTGAATTATCTATCATCACTGTTGCCCAACCACCCATCCTTCCTTGTGTCCCTCTGTCATCCTCATTCTTCCCACACCTTGCACAAAATGATTTTTATGGTGATTCGGCAATAAGTACACATTGAATACTGTCATTTTGGCATTTGTTGAAAATCCAAATGCCTAATAACAGAGGGTTAAAAAAATAAGCATTTTTATAAGTATGCTGAATTGGATCAGCATTATTGTTCATTATAATGCTATATATATTTTTGAAGCAACGTACTATAGTTGTCATAAAACTATGCTTATTCTTCTCCTCTAAAGTGTTGTTGTAAATTCATTTGACCTTTACTGCAGGAAAAAAAAAAATCTTTTTTATATGGGGTATCAAGACA